AAACAAAAGGCTTCAATGCAAGACCCAAAGCTATAAAATTACTAAAAGAAAATAGTCCAGGAGAAATGCTTCATGACAGTGGTGTGAGTAATGACCTTTTGGATATACCCTCAAAAGGAAATGCAAACAAAATAAAAATTGAGGCAGTGTGCGGGCCAACTCGGCACAGAGCCTGGGTGGCCAAGCTCACTAGCTTGCACGGTGTTGGTCCTGTTTTTTTTTTTTTTTTTTTGAGACAGGGTCTCATTATGCAGTTCAAACTGGCCTTGAGCTCACTTTGTAGCCCGGGCTGGTCTCGAACTCGCCATGATCCTCCTGCCTCAGCCTCCTGAGTGCTGGGATTACAGGCGTGTGCCATCACACCTGGCCTTGGTCCTGGATATGAGCCCCGAGCTGAGGACGTGCAGATGGTGGACCAGAACAGCACCGACCCGGGCGCTGAAGCGGATTAAGAAGAAACTCAGTGATTTGGCCCTTGACCCCCCAGTGCCAGGTTCTACAGGTCCAGTCGGGGTTTTACTGGCCGTAAGTACAGGATCTACGGACAGCCCACATCAAGGCAATGTATTCTGATAATTCATTGTCCTAAAGGTTACCCCTTCAAATACCTACGGTTGGGCTGATACATTTCAGCGGCTCAAGCGCCTGCCTGGCAAGCGCAAGGTCCTGAGTCTGATTCCCAATACCGACACACACGCACACACACGCACACGCACACGCACACACAAAAACACCTAAGGTTGTATTGCAGCAAGAATTTGGGGCCCAAATGTTAGTAACCCCAGCACGTGTCTCGACATTCCAAGGTCTCGTGGTCTCCTGCTTCATCTGTTTCTAAAGGTCTTTTATCCATTTGCTCACTGCTATGCGACCCAAACCAGACGACCGGCGGGCGTCAGACTGTACGGATCTATAAAACAGACAAGTACCACAGAATATCTCGAAGAGACTCATGAGTATGCCGTGTGACGCTACCTTAAAACCAGAATAACCTGCAGTATCGTTGGAATAAACTGTAAATCACTGTTTTAAAAAATTCAAAAACTGCTGCACAACAAAGGCAACAATCAACAAAGTGAAGTGACAGCTTATGGAAGGAGAAAATATTTGTAAGCTATAGATCTGAGAAGAAATACCTCAAATTTATAAGGAACTGAAATAACACAGGAGCAAAAAATAAAACAAAACAAAAAAACCCTACTTAAAATGTGAACACTGCTGGTGGGGATGAAATTAGTGTAGCCACCACGGAAAAGAGAGCAGGACTTGTCTTCAAAACTCAAAATATGCATCTGGAATGAACAGACACTTCTCAGACGAAAAACTATAAGCAGCAAATATATGAAAAAATGTTCAGCTGGGCATGGTGGCACATGTCTGTAATCCCAGCTCTCGGGAGGCTGAGGCAGGAGGATCACCATGAGTTCAAGACCAGCCTAAAGTAGACAGCAAGATCCTGTCTCAAAAACCTAAAAAAAAGTTAAAATATCCATTTATATACAACAGCCAGGATATAGAATCAACCCATGCGTCTAGCAACAGATGAAGAAAATGCACCATACATATGTAATGGAATTCAACTCAGCAATAAAAAAAAAAAAGAATGAAAATAAAATCCTACCATTTGTGCCATGGATGAGCCTGAAAATCATTACATTAGGGAAGTAAGTCAGGCACAGAAAGGCAAGCATCATACGACCTCACTTGTGGAATTGAAAAATACTGATCTTGCATGAGTAGACGGGTGGGGAGAAAAGGATGGAGCAATGTTGGTCAAAGGACATATAAGTAAGTCGGGCGTGTTGGTGCACACCTATAATCCCAGCATTGGGAGGCTGAGGCAGGAGGATCATTAGGAGTTTGAGACCAGCCTGGGCTACAAAGTGAGCTCAAGGTCAATCTGAATTGCATAGTGGGACTGTCTCAAAAAGAAGAAAAAAAAGGGATACATAATTAGACATTTAAAAATATATCCAGAATTGGAAAATAGAAAACAGCCGCTATTGTCTGAGGCCAAGGAGCAGGGCTGAGGGGTATGGGAAATGGCTACTAATGGTTTTCTTTTTCATGTGATGAAAATGCTCAGAATTGGGATGGCCATACAACACCACTTTAACTGGGTGAAGCGTAGGATACCCAGACCATCTGACATTCAAACTGCTACAATGGCACACAGGAGTGAGACACAAAAGCACCTTCACCCCATCTCATTATCCTCAGAAATCTCAAATCCTTTTCCCACAGATAACCACTATCCATCCTTTGTTCTCTTTTTTTTAATTAATGTTTTTAATGAAGTGAAATCAGTGTTCAGAGAGGCTGGTTTGTCTTCTTCTGCTCCTTCAAATTACACTTAGGCATCTGTGTGCAGTTTTAAATTCTTTTTTGTTGTTGTTGTTTTTTGTTTTTCTCTGGTACCGGGAACCGAACTCACGACCTTGCGCTTGCCAGGCAGGCGCTTTTGCCGCTGAGCTAAATCCCCAGCCCTGTGTGCAGTTTTAATGAGTTCACATCATGTATCACTCTGAAGTTTCTCTTACATCTGCCATCTATTTCTTAAGCTCTTCCTCGCCTGTACGGACAGACTTCTCTTATTGCAGACGTTGCACAGAATTCCACGCTAGGGACGTGTCCTGTCTTCATCCAGCATTTAGATGGTCCCCAACACTTTACTATATGCTCTCATGGCAACAGACCTTCTGTAGACACACCTTTGGGCAAAGGCCCATAGCCATGCATGCTACATTCATAAGAGATTACTGGCGTGACGTTCCTACCAACCGACAGCAATGCCTGCTTGCTAAGGTGTATCACGCATTACGTGCCAGGCACTGTTTTGGAAACTCCCTAAGGTAAGGTTACTAGGAATATTTCGCCTTTGAATGCTCCCTACTTGCTGGGTAGCTATCATCTCTCTTTTCCCTTTTCTCCACCTTCAAATAAACCGACTTCTCTCGGTTTAAATTCAGCTGATTTCTTTACTGACACTGGGTTTGATTGCTGGGAGCTGTGTTTTCCAGCAGAGCAGCAGTTTATAGTACCTGGATAAAGATGGGAATGAGAAAAGCGGGTGTACAGCTAAGCAGACTGCGTTTGAGGAAAACCCACGCTGTAAGGAAATAAGAGAAGCCAACAGCAGAAAGCACCACATCACATGTACCAAGACTGCACCTCCTCAAGGGAACTCAGAGTGGACTTCCAGAAGCTGATGGTAGACTCTCAAAGGAAAGACAGGCCGAGCAGAAGCGCTCCACAGAGCAGACAGCGGACCAGTGATTGGCTGCAGGGAAATAGGAAGGGGCTATTTCCTGTCGCAAAAATGCTGCAGCGTATCTCTGGGAAGCCATAAAGCTGACATAGTGTGAGCAGGCTCACTTGTCCCTGGAACTGCAGGGCAGCCACGTGGACTCGCTCCTCCTCCTCCAGGAGCACCGGGAAAGGGTGAAGTGTGAGGGACACAGCTGCCCATCTCTGGGCATCTCACAAGCCCTCTGAGACGACATGCGGCCAGAACTCCCTTCTTGCTCAGCAGCACAGCCCTTCCACAGAAACGCCTCCTGAAATCCAGGGGGTTTTGACAGGGCTCCAGACACACTGCCGTATTTACTTCGGTGAAAGAGTGAGTCTGTGGAGCCATATATTGAATGCAAAGCCCCAAAAGATGACAAAACAATGACCGAGGAACTGCAGATCTGAAGGGGCATGTGGAGTTCCTTGTGGTTGAGAAAGAAAGATTCAGGAAAGAAAATGAACAAGGAAGGGCTGAAAAAGCCAAATTCCTAAAAGGTTCAATAGAAAAGGAGTGGGATACGGATGCTGATTTTGTAGAATCGTCAGTGGGGGAGCTTGCCACCATTCAGAAAATGCTGCAGCCTCTTCAGCCTGGCAGAAGCTTGCAGCGAAGACCAGGAAAGCTAAGGACATTCCAATACCCTACCTTCCTCCCTGGGATTTTCTGTCTCCAGGAACTTCTACTTACGGTGCTGAGGACAGACTGAAAGGATTTATGAGTAATTGAAATGGAAGGCGAGTAGAGGTCAGAAGAAAGACTACAGTAACAGTTAAGCCAGAAAAGAAAAAAAGGGACAGCCATACGTAAGGGCAGTCCTGGAATTGTCGGCATGTGGCTTCTGTGGGAGAGAGGCACTGCCCGGAAGTGGGGACAGTCACTCTAAGTGCACAGCGGATCTGATTCTCCAGCACAGCTAATGATCCGGACTTGGCAGACATAGCTCAGACGCTGACTTTTTCCTCTGACACACCAAATGGCCACCTGGAATATCTTCAAGCAATGACTGTTTTGTATCTTCAGGGTTTAAATGTATTCAAGTACGTTAGGTGTAATTAATCTACAATGCCATAAATGGTAATGCAAAACCTAAATACAGTGGCCTGAGGGACTGCCTTGTATCTGAAATATGCTCTATTGTGCACTGACTATATGCATCTTGTTACGCACATTTTGTTTTAAAAAAGTGTGGCCAAGCATGGTAGCACACACCTATAATCCCAGCCCTCAGGAGGCTGAGGCAAGAAGATCATTGTGAGTTTGAGGGCAGCCTGGGCTACCTAGCAAGCTAAAGGCCAGTCCAGACTACATAGAGAGATCCTGTCTCAAAAAAAAAATGTTGTGTAAGACGCACACCTTTCTAGATGAACCTGTATGTGCCACATCCGCACTCCTCATAACATAATAACCGCAAGAGTATTAGGAGAAATACAATTTCCATTTTATGAAGGAATCAAATTGTTATGCTTTTTAAACCAGTGTACACAGTTTACCAGGGTGCTTAAGTTCTGTTATATGATGCATCATCTAAAAATACCAAGCAAGTGTCTCTTGCTCTTAGTGATGCACGAGCGGAAGTAATGATAGCTGGCAGTATTTGAGTGTAAATCAATAAAGTAAGTATGTTTAGAAAAACAAGGTAAGGTTATGAGAATCAAGTAAGATGATGTGCGTAATTAGAATGCTGCTTGACAAGAAACGTAAGTCTCTCTGAGGTAGATACTATTTATTACTTCTCATTTTGCAGGTAAGAAATCTGAGGTTTACAGATGAAAATAACTTGCTTGTTACATAGGTAAGAAGTGGCAGTATATATGCCTTTGAGTCTTGTCTACCACAATATTTCCTTCAGTTCTCTTACTAATCTTAACTCACACTTAAATCTTGTGTTACATACAAAAAAGTGTTTTTTTCTCATTGGCATTTACCATCTTTTCTGAATTTTGGATTTAATGTCATTAACAACAAATACACAAGTAGGGACAAGTTACTCAAATAGAAAACCAACATTCATGGTGCAGTACAAAAATTAACACAGTCATAATACTAGACATAACTCAAACACAAATTGCCTATTTTTTAACAATAAAATAGTAACAGCAACAAAATAACTTAGTTGTAACAAAGCTATCAAAGGAGCAAAATAAAAACAAAACTAATTAATAGGCATTGCTTCTGCTCATATCAGTTATCTCCTTTAAACAGGAAAAACTACCATCCGTCTAGTGATTCTCAATCCTGTCTGCTTGGTAACGCAATAGAGAAAATGGATGGTGCCTAAAAAAGTGGGTGTATCTAGCGCGCACCTCAGAATAATTGAGCATCTCTCTAGAATCAGGCCCAGGCAAAGACACTAAAGTGCAGTCAGTGTCGAGAACTACAGGTCTAAACTAATAAGCAATAAAACCCATGCCCTCAAAGTACTTCAAAACCAAAAAAACTGGTCACATAATAAATTTCTTTCCTTTTATCTTGGAAAGGGGGAGGGACAGACATTAACAAAATTCTGCTCATTATGCATTTTAGATTGCCCATAGCAGTTTACCAAACATCAAATAATGTGAATTATTTAAACATGCTACTCAAACTGATACTCTACTTTTCATTTACAAAGCTCTTATGAAACAATACTAGCTTTCAGAGAAAATCCTCCACATTTTAGGTTTGCATAGATGTTCAAGTCTGCTTTTTGTTCAACTAAAAAGTCATAAGATGTATTATAAAGTATTCTGTTAACAATTTTATAAAATGATTTTCATATAATGTACCACAAATAAACTTTTTGGTGCAGGAAGGAGGAAGATTTGAGTGTTTTTCACCTATTTCTAAAACTAGTAGAATTCTTTTTTATAACATCAGTGTCTTCAAAATTAGAACCTAAAACAAAACATTTTTCTTTAAAAAGGCATACATAAAATATTCTGCCTACCACTGTACTGTATCACTGACAAATCCCTACAGGAAAGTTCAGTAGTACTACAGGTTTATCTTCAAGACGACCTTTCCTGATTTTTCAGGTTTGGAATGATACCAGGTCAAGTCTGGAAAACAACTTTTTCCTTAAGAAGATGTAAATCCACTTAGCAATGTCTCCTCAAATTCAGTGAGTCCCACTTCTATAGCTCCTTCCATCAGGACTCCATGTCCACCTCAGTCCCTTCACTCTTGTCCTCAAGTTGTGGCTCTGGCAGGCTGTCCTCCCCGATGTCTTCAATGTCGGCCAGGTCAATAGGGGGCAGAGGGTTCCTCCAGTAGTGGAAGGTATTATACTGCCAAAATTCCTCGTTGTGCTTTAGGGAGAAAGGAAAATCATGTTATCAGTGGGAGAGGGAAAGATTTGTTTCCCTTCAGGAAACAAATTTCCTTGCTTCAAAAGCAAACTTAAGTAGACTGCAGTCTTGTATTTTGTATTTTCAACAGGCATATATTTATTTTGCCAAACCAAAATTCTTCATGAACTACATATGTGCATTTCAGTACCTTTGCATTTTTAAAAAGTATTTGTTAATAGCTAAAGTTTAAAAGATAAATTTCCTCCAATAACATCTATTCCCAAAATTTTCTAACTTTTTACCCAAAGAAAATATATGAAAAATTGGGCTGGGGATATAGCTCAGCAGCATAAGCACTTGCCTGGCAAGCCTGAGGTCATGAGTTCGATTACCAGTACAAAAAACAAAAAAATTAAAAACAAAAAAATTTAAAATTTTTTATGTTTAGTAAGGAAAGTAAGAATCTACTTTAAAAATACATACAGGGGCTGGGGATTTATCTCAGCAGCAAAAGCACCTGCCTGGCAAGTGCAAGTGCAAGGTCGTGAGTTCGGTTCCCGGTACCAGAGAAAAACCAAAAAAAAAAAAAAAAAAAAAAAAAAAATACATACACACACTTCCCTTTATAAATTATTTTTGGTCATTTCTACAACATATATTTTAAGAGGTTGACTTTACACAGGCCAAAAAGTTTTGACAAATTTTACTCTAAGGTATTAGAATATAAACACGATGAAGAGCAAGAAAATACTAAATTGATGATGTGATTAGAGATAGAAGTCCATACTAACTTAAACCAATGTATTAAAATTTATCAATCTAAGTGCTGGTCCCTTAAAAAGTCAGCAGCTTAATGTGAATGACCACTAAATCATTTCAAGCAATGATGTTAAAAATTTATATACTACTCTGCCATAAAGGAGGATAAACTTGAGACCATAATGTTAAATCAGACACACAAGGCTGTCACATGGTTTCTCTTTGATGAGAAACTTACTATATATAAATAAAGCACAAAATAAGATAGATAATAGGAGAAAAAACTGGCCCACTTAGGAGACAGATCTTTTGCAAAAGGGAAGGGGACTAAGATGAAAGGGATGGAAGGGGAGGAAAGGGGGTGAAGAAAGAATTAAGTTGTGGTATGTACACGAACCAACTCCCCACAAGAAGTGTAATCATTATGTACTGCAAAAATGCTTATAAGAACATAAAAATTGAAAAATATTGGCATAGAATTTCAAGCACCTACAAAGTATCTTGTGCAAAATAAGCAGCACTGAAGTTACACACAGGCTTACAAGGTAATTCTGAACATTAATACCTTTCCTTCTTAGAGCAATAGCCGCATGTACCCTACTACAGTGTGTGCTTCAGTATCTGCTACAGCAGCTCTAACAGAAACAGGAACCACATATAATCTAAACTCTTCTGGTAACCACAGTAAAAACAGGTGAAATCAACCTTAATATCTGATTTGACCTAACAGATCCAAAATATTTCAACATATGGTCAATATTTTTAAAAATCACAATGCCACCTTTTTGTCACACTAGATTCTCAGAATTTGGCATGTGTTTTACACTTCCAGCAGTATCCACACTAGCGCTATTTCAGTACTCTATGGCCACATGTTTACTGCTTACTGTACTGGAAAGCAGAGGGCTACAAACACCTCATTAGGAAGTTCATTCAGTGTCTTAATACAGTATACCTTAATGAATCAAGTCTTTGGAGACCTTCTTACAACTGGATAAAGACGAAATAAGGATAAAAATGTCAATTTAATATGCAAATGGTTAAAACAACGTTCTAGTTCTCTGTCTGGAAAATAAATTATCTACTCATACACACAGACCAAAAAAGATTCTTTCATGATATTAGCAGAAGTTAGTGGCTAAAAGCACGAATTCTGCACCAGACAAGCCTGGGTTTGTAAGATAACTTCATCACCCACCAGCTCTGCTCTTGACCTCACTGTGACAATTAAGGATTAGCATAGTAACTGTGATATTACTAGACACATCTCCAAATTCAGTATGAACCATTACTCTTTTCTTAGTAAAACATTTCTGCTTGCTTTCCGTTAAAAATACCTAACAGTAAGAGCTAGCACTGGCAGAGGAATGCACCAGCATAAAATCACGCTAACGTGCACTCTCCTGGGGTTGCAGAACAGGGAAGTACCATCACTCTGCCCTAGGCTGCACACTTAGTGCAGAAGAGAAGCATCTGCGGCAGTATTTCCTAAACGGTTTGGAAAGGAGTGTGGGGAAGAATTTAAACTGAGTTCAACAAAAATCAGGCATTTACTATATTGAACAGAAAAGGCTTTGTATATCTCCATGATTTTGTTATATCCTGTTTTCCCTTGCTAATTAGCTATAAAACCCTTAAAACAGAAGTTGTGTTTTTGGAGGCAGGAAGGAAAGAGGGTGACTGGTGAGAGAATATCCCTCAGTTTTACAGAAGACAAGGGACTTCAGGAGCAGACCTAACAAAAGGAAGGAATGTGAATCTTCCTGGACCCAGTCACTGACCTAAGGTAAGCTGCTTCTAAAAGATTTCTAAGTAAACAGCTTCTGCCAGTTAAAAACTCTCCTTTGCCTGTCACTTCCATATGTCGCTCTTATCAATCCTGTGACACGGGGTACACAGTACATTCTGGAAGGAAAAACCACCTACATATGGAGGGGTGCCAGAAATAGTCTCGAGGGAGATTTCGAACCACTGTACCAATCTGTATATCCAATAGGTCTAGATGATTATCATTATTTTAAGGAAGTTGATTTTGAGTATTTAAAAGCAATCCGAAGAAAAAAGTATAGATGAGGCCGCTGCCAAAACACCAAGGAAAATTGGGAGCAGAAATATTTACTATTTATATTTTCATCCGAAGATGGCCATCACAGTGAGAAATTAAATTTCTTACTAAAGAAAAAAACCTTTCCCAACTACAAAAGCTCATTATCTTATTAATTTTTAGCATTGGCAAGTAATGTTGAAGGACTTTTTCCAAGGTACTGTAGTTGGTAAGCTGTCAAAAGGCACTTAAAGGGCTGGGGATTTAGTTCAACGGCACAGCGCCTGCCTGGCAAGCGCAAGGTCGTGAGTTCGATTCCCGGTACCGGGGAAAAAGAAAAAAAAGACAACAAAAAATGTTGGACGGAAGCTATGCTGTAGCGGCTGAAGTTTGGTGAATTCTGAGCCCCGCACACTGGTTCTTCCTTGGGAAGTCACTCCCCAACTGGAAATAAGTGCCCTGAATTCCTAAATCTAGTTGAAAGCAGTCGTCACCTAATGGAATAAAGAGGAATTTAAATTGTTCTGTAAGTCCTATTTAAAAAAAGTAAAAGCAACAGATGAAATTAGTATCTTTTACTCTGCTACCCAAATTATTTTTTTTCGAGCCAGGGTCTTTCCGTGGCCCAGGCCGCCGTGAAAGCTGCTGAACCGAGACGAACTTTCTCAGGACGGCGCGGTGCAGAGGGCAGAGCAGGGTCTCCCCGGGATTCTGACACCCGTTTCCCTCGGGGCCTGCTTTCAACAATCGGCTTGCACAGGGCGGGATTTAGCACTGAGTTGAAAACGGGGTTCCCAAAGATACCGGGTCCTCCCTCTCTGCCCCCGCTCCGCGCCCACCCGGGGCTCCTGCCCCGGTGACAAGCGCGGACAGCCGCCCCACGCTGTCGCGGGACAGGACGCCCTGCTCGCCCGACAGAGCCCGCCTCCCGCTCCCGCACGCCAGCCGGCGCGCTCCGGGCCCTCGG